ATGGAGCACTTCCATCACCATGAGGATCCCTTGAGCTGCCCTTTGAGAACCACACCCACCTCCCTTGGCCCTCCACTCCGTACCTCCACCCACCCCTAACCAGGCAACCACTCATCTATTCTCCACTCCTCGAACTATGTCATTTCAAAAACGTTACATAGTAGAATCAGCCCGTATATAACCTTTGGGGACTGGCTGCTTTCACTAGCATAATTTCCTCAAGATTCATCTTAGTTGTTGCATGTATTATCAGGAGTTTGTTCCTTTTTATTGCTGAGTAGTTTAACCATTCACCTGTTGAAGGACATCTAAGCTGATTCTAGTTTTTGGCTATTATGAATAAAGTTGCTACAAACATTTGTGTACAGGTTTTTATGTGAACAGAAGTTTTCACTTCTCCGGGATAAACAACCAAGAGTGCAACTGCCGGGTCATATAGTAACTGTATGTTCAGTTCTACAAGGCACTGCTTGTTTTCCAGAGTAGCTGTCCATTTTATAGTCCCACCAGCGATGACTAAGTGACCCAGTTTCTTCCAAGCCAGCATTTGGTGTTGGCTTAGCATCGTAAGCTGTATCACTTGTTTGACTACACAAGTAAGCATCTGGTCAGAGTAAAATCCAAAGTCCTTATATTGGGGTACGGGCCCTAAACGGCTACCCCTCATCTCCTCTTTCTGGCCTCCTTACTACTCCTGCAACGTGGAAAGCACTCCCGCTCATCTGTTCCCTCTACCTCAACCTCACCTCCTCCAGATACCCGGCCCCCTCCCCCTGCTCCAGTAACACCTTCTCAGTGCACTTCGCACCCTAAACACCGCCACAAAGCCCGTCTCCCCCTTATTCTGTTTTGTCTTTCTCCATAGTCTTTAACACCACTGGTCTTGTTCACTGCTGTAACCCAAGGGCCCAGAACAGGCCCTGGCACACAACAGGCACCCAGTTGAAAGGAATCCTTCCAGGTCATCTAGTCCAGTCCCCACTTAAGTGCTCATAATGCCACCACAGCTTACTTGTCAGTGTTACACCATACTTTACAGCTACACAAATGCTCCATGGCCCTAGGACAGAGAAATGATACTGCCTCAGCTACACTTGGACAGATGTAAGCAACATAAGTCCTCCCTCGCAAATGCTGATGGAATTTTATATTATATTATATTATATTATTATATTATATTATATCAAGAGAAAAGTAGGTCCTGATCATCTACAGTGGAGCTTCTCAAGCTTTAATGTGCACATAAATTGCTCACAAACCTGGTTAAAATGCAGACTCTTGATTCAGTAGATCTAAGGTAGGGCAGAGATTCTGTACTTCTTATAAGCTCCCAAGTGATACCAAATTGCTGGCCCTGAGACCACACTCTGAGCAGCAAGGATCTATGGCATATCTCGTCTCTAACACATATTCTAGCACCCAAACTGATTCAAGTTAACACAACATTAAACAGTATCTTATACTGTGTTAATTTTTCCTTCTTGCTGTCTGAATAAGACTTCCATTCCAAGGTAGTTCACTGAGTGACTGGCTCACTTGCAGGGACCAGAGGTAATGGGGGCGGGGCCTCTGAAGGAGGAGAGAATAGGAAAGCCAGGACACTGTAAGACCTTTGCCTTTACATCTCCATAAGTCCTCTTTTAAAAAGAAATTCTACAGTATTATATAGCAGTTAATAAGAATGATAGGTACTGCTATGAAACAATGTCTTTGATATACTAAGTGAAATAATATAGTGTGAGCTCATTCATGCAAAAAAAAAAAAAAAAGACTTGTATATGCATTAAAAAATCAGAGAAAACGGGCTTCCCTGGTCTTTACTCAAAAGACACCGTCTCAGTGACCCTTCCCTGGACACCCTACCTAAAACGTCAATACCTTATTAACCCTGACATTTCCTAGACCCCCTTCCCTGCTTTGCTGCTGTTCCTCCTTTGTTTACCACCATCCAACATACTGTGTATTTTTCTTATGTATCCTGTTTCTGGCCTATGTCCCTCACTAAAATGTAAGCTTCATGAGGGCAGAGCTTTATCTGTTCATGGCTGTAGCCCTGCACCTATTAGGATACTGGCTGGCACACATTAGACATTCAGCAAATAATTAAAATCAGAGAAAAACTAGGAGGGAATCTGAAGGAGAGTGAGAAAGTGCCAAAGGCCAATGTCAACTGCCTCATAATTGCAGTTAGGACCCTGCCAAGCTCTGGCACTCCCCTGCACGTCAGCCTTGCTGAGACTGTTGCCAGTACCGCCCGGAACCCCTGTATCCCATATGCTGAGCTGGGAGTAGGCACTCAGATCCTTCAACTGAAGCCCAAGCGTGGCTGGTGATACTATAGTTCCACAGAGAGCAAGGGCCATAAAAATAGAACAGTTACTTTCTAATTGCTTTTGGCCAATCTTACTCTGGGGCATGGATTTTTCAGCCGAAGCATCTGAACAGAAACGCCAAGATCCAAATCTGTAAGCAGTGAGTTCGTTACTCAAAATTAATGAATACTTGCTTTCTCAACAGCAAAGTACATAAAAATGTAACATTTATGCATTTTTTAAAAATAACTATAATTAAGCCCAATGCAGTTGACTTCAGAGCATGCTAAGAACCTTTCAAAGTTACTATTCTGAAGTACTTTTGTTTTTAAAAAATTTAAAATCTATCTTCATATATATAATACACAGATTATACCTGGTAGGATACACAAGGAGGAAGCTTGCCTCTGGGAATGGAGTTAGGTACTCGGGAGAAAGGAACGGGAGAGAGACATTTAAATTACCTTTTTGCAATTTTGGAATTTGTACCATGGTAGTGTATTATTTATGCAAAAATGATAGACCAAATTTTAAAAATAAGTCAATCATACATTTCCTTACAATAAAGTAATGAAACAAAATGTATGTTCTTCGTCAAGCTGGCTTAAGAAGGAAACCTCTTTACACCCATATTTTGAAGAAGATAAGCTAATTCAGGTTCTGTCAAATCAGCCTAAGAAACAGAAAGCATACTTTCAGACTGACCAAGTGTTTGAACAAGCAGACAGGGACGCAAGTAAGGCCTTCCTTCCCACCCAGAGCCCTGCTTGGTGCTTCCCGCCTTTATACGAGATCACGCAGGGCATGGACTTCCACGACATCTAACTCCAGGAAGAGCACGACCATAAAAGTCTGGAATGGATAGTTATGGTTATAAATCACCTGCTGCAGAGAAAAGTCAAATTGTTAAAAAAACAAACAAACAAAAACCAACTTTTTTCCCCTGTAAGTATCCAAACAGGTTTTTCACCTTTTAGCAGAAAACTAAGTTGTTTGCAGATTTTATTTTAACAGATAAGCCAAAATTACTCCCCAAATTCTCAGTTTCTAATGAAACCTTAGGACACAGCAAGGATCACATCAGAAGCATAACGAAGAAAACGTTACTAAAAACGAATCAGCCTGAAGAAGGTACGCTTCTTAGAGGGGCTGCTTCGTGAAAACTTTCCTCGTTAAATGCCATCCTGTACACACCCAGATCAGAAATAAAATGACCCGAGAGGAAAGAAAGGCCCGAACTGCAGCAGAGCACACACCCTGACCTCTGCTGAACACCCAGCACACAAGACTTCAGGGAAAAGTACTCGGTTCTCTTAGACTGTGTCGTGAATGGTCTCTCTCCTTCTGTTTCAAAAACTTTCCCTGGCACAAGCAACGGAGACCCCCTGCTTCCAAACAGTAGCAGATGTCAGCAACAGGAAGCGTGTGTGGGGTCCGCAGACACCACTGCTCCGGCAAAGCTGGACTGCGCCACTCGTGACAGGGACATCACTCGCCCCCAGCGATTAACCTCTCCCTCAGCAACACGTCATTTGTTTCCAACTGAGGACAGGCAATAAAGGGCAGTCAACTCTTCCTAATATTTAAGCCAGTTTTATTGCTTCTCACGTGTTAACAACAACCGTCTAGTCAGTTCACCGCTTACTTGGCAACCACAGCTCATTCAAGTGCCCGCAGGCCAACCTGAGCTGAGACAAGCGGGTCTCTCCCTGATGCTCAACATTCTGCAGCGAATCCCGAACAACACGAAATTCCCTGAGGCTGCAGGAAGACAGCCCCGAGCCACAGGCTGCTTAAAGGGGCCCTCGCAGGAGGCTCTCCACTGGGCCGCGCGCGCTCCCCCGCCCTCCAGCCCGACGTCCCAAGGCATGATGTCACCACTGTCCCCGCATCACTCCGGCTCCATTCCCGGAGCACCCTGCGCCCCCAGCCCTCCTCCTCTCAGACCAGGAGAGGGACGGGACGCGGCCTCGGCTCTGACAAGTTCTGCTCACAACACAGCCCCGATTCCTCCCCTAACTTCGCAGCCGGGAGAGCAGAGGACTGGGGCCGGGGCCGCCCCGGCGCCTCCGGGAGAGGCCGGCGAGGCTCCCCGCGCCTGCCGAGGGCCGGAGACCCACGCGGGGCCGGGGAACTGGGTGGGGACCACGGGACGGCCCTGTCGCCGCGGGCCGGGGAGCTGCAGCGGGCCCGCACTCACGGTCGGTGCAGCGGCTC